AACATGAACTGGATGAGTTCAGCATCCAATGATGATATGAAAGAGTCTAAAAACAGGGATCATTTATCCCTTTTTGGACGGCTCCTCTCATAACCCCGGCCACCCTGCATTAATACGGTCAGTGTCTGCGTGGTTTTTCAGCTTTCCTCTCACACGTCAGGGGGAACCCGTCTGAAAGGTCAGCGAGGTTCTTCCTGAGGTACAGAGCTCAGTGTGCACAGACCTCCCACCACCCAAACCTCATCGTCCATCAGCACTCCGCCCTCACACGCTCACCTTCTGTCCAGATTTACACAAAAAGAAAAATATGAAAAGATTTAAAGAGAAACAATTTATTGACTTTGAGTAAAAAACATTAAACTGTTACATTGTAGAGGTGTGTTCCAGTAAAACTTTGTGTTTTATGTGTGTTTTAGTGGATGACCACCCTGCTGATCAAGGGGGATTTGTGCTGAGTGAAGCCTTCATCTGTTATGGCTCTGTGGTCCAATTAGTTTGTACTGAGTCAGGAGTCGCTCTGCCACCCATGGTAACACACACACACATTTATACACACGTACTTTTCTATATTCATAGTAACACTTTCATTTCAACTTATCCACCCTTCTCTGCATCACTACATCTATAACCTCTGTGGTCCTCCATCAATCTCTTTTTGGGGTTTGGTAGAGCTGCTGTCTCCAGCAGTCGTTGATCCAAAGGACCCTGGTCCATCACAGATCTGCACTCAAACTCACGCCTGAGGATGATTTAGCACCRTTTAGTCCGCTTTAATCAAACTGTAGTTTGTTTGCCTGGAAAGTCTGGTCCGTTTGGGGAGGTGTGAAAACGTGTGGACCAAATAAGTGAACTCTCATCCTCCTGAAAATCTAGGTCTCATTTCAGTTGAAGTGAACTCTGGYGCGGTTTGTTGCGGACCGGGGTCTGGCCTAAAAACAGGAAGCAGACTAATGCATTCATTCTGAGTAATAATACTAATAAAGTTACTCATATCTTGTAAATACCTCGCTGGATGCCTGTTTAAGATACACAGCAAAAACTGTCCATCTTACCAAGTTTTAAAATCTTATGTCCAGCCAAAAAAGTCTTTTTGATGTTGTTTTGAGACTGATTTACTGAACAAGAACTGATTGTGTAAGAATAATAATCTTGTTTTCAGAATGTGTAAGATTATTTGTCTTGTTAGTCTGACAATTTGACTCAAATTAAGTAAAAAAAATTTCTGCCAATGGAGTAAGAAAATTTTACTTGATAAGATTCTTGAAATAAGAAAAAAGTGAGTCTAATCAAGTATTTCAAGAATCTTACCAAGTAAATTTTTTTACTCCATTAGCAGAACTTTTTTACTTAATTTGAGTCAAATTTTCAGACTAACAAGACAAATAATCTTACTCATTCTGAAAACAAGATTATTATTCTTACACAATGTCAGGCTGTGAAACATGGAAGCTCTGTGTCTGGGTCTCTGCCCTGTTCCGTGGGAGTTCCGCAGGGTAGCATACTGGGCCCATTGCTTTTCCTATCATACATAAATGACCTTCCAAAAATATTGAAGTACTCAAATATTTTAATGTATGCTGATGATACTGTTCTTTTTTGTCTGATTTCAATATTGAATCTRTTAATAGTCAGTTACAAGCAGATCTTCAGACATTTCATGGTTGGCTTCAAGATAATCTTTTGTCAATTGATGTTAAAAACTGTGTGCATGTATTTTTCCTCACCCAGGAGACATTTCAATATAACAAATCAACTCACTTTTTAAACAAACCCCTAGATATTGTCACTACCTACAAATATCTTGGAATTACTTTGGATTCTCATTTGACTTATCGTGATCATGTACAAGTCTCAACTACTAAGTTGAAACAGAAATTATACGTTTATTCAAAAATTAGATCCAATCTGACATCTTCTGTTTCAAATATCTATCTTCATGCCATTATACTCTCAACCATGTCGTACTGTTTACCTGTTTGGTCTCTTACAACAAATGAAATCTTAGAACCCATAGTTAGGCTCTATAACAGGGCCTACAAAATTCATAAAAAACTTCCTGGTTGGACTCATCACTGTACAGTTCTTTCATTGTCTGATGCCTTGACTTTGCAGAATTATGTTTTGTATAGTGGTATTAATTTATATTTTCAGATCTTCCAAGGTGCCAATTATGGAACTCTCTGTGCATTGTTGCCCAAATCAAATTCTGGAAGTGGTCATTCAACTAGATCTGTTACAAAAGGACAACTGATATTACCAACTTTTAAAAACTGTTATGGCCTGAGGTCTTTCTTCTATGTTTATACTAAAGCATGGAATGACATTCCTCAAAACATAAAGTCCATTTCAAAACTACAGCCCTTTAAGAAGAATCTTGTCTGCCATCTGCTGGACACTTTTTGTTGTGCTCATATTTAGATGTCCTATTTTGCAAATGCTGCCTTTTTTAAATTTGGTATGCTTGTTTGTCTTTGTGTCTATGGTGTATAATGATGTGATTGTGTTGCTGTAATTCTGAGTATTTTATGTGCTGCAGAACAGGAATCTTCTGTAAAACAGCAATTATGCTGAGTCAGGCTTGATTTTCAATAATCTTTTCCTGTTAAATAAATAAATAAAATATCTAATTAATAAGTTCTTGTTTGGTAAATCAGTCTCAAAACAAGATCAAAAAGACTTTTTGGCTGGATATAAGATTTTAAAACTTGGTAAAATGGACAGTTTTTGTGAAGGTGGATGCACTCCTACTCGGTGAATGCTGCCTCACACGGAGAAATCTGGGCCTCCTTGAGTGGAAAGCCATATTCTCCACGGTTCTGCCTCATCTTTCTCTCATGTTGAGCCTTTTGTTAAAGAGTGTTTGTTTGGCACATTTGCCAAAAACAGAACAAAAAATAAATAAATCCTACAACCACTAAAATCTGACTTGTTGACATTTAGTGAAGAAAGAACTCATGCTCCACATCTCCTTCTGAGGTTTTCGTGTCAATTCTTTCAGTGGTTCTTGATGCAGCGCCCCCACAGGCGAGGGGGAGGGACAGGCTTTTCACAGGGTTTGGTTTGTGTGACAAAGTGCAGTGTGAATGAGAACCACACCAACTCAAAATGTAAACAAATCTTGTAATTTTGGTCCCCAATGGAACCAAGTCTACCGGACTATCGGGTGTGAATATGACCTTTGAGTCGCCAGTTCTTTACCTCAATCCCTAAAAAGAGCTTAAATCTCAGAGTTAGACCTCAATCTCAACCCTCTCAAGGTTTGTTCAGGTGTTTTATCGCCCTCCAGTTAAACTAATCTGAGTTCTTCGTATTTTGCTGAACAGAACGTTTCTAAGCTGCTTACATAACACCTTCATCTAGATGGATCAGGTGTTCCCTCGCGCTCTACCTCTATATGTTGTTGTAGTTTGGTTAAAGACGAGGAGATCTTTCCTGCTAAGGTTTTTTGTGCGACCATCTCCTTGGCTCAGATTTCCCTTGTGGTCTCCATTCAGAGGCCGAGGAGGAGGAAGGCTGGACGTTCAGAACAAAATGTTCAGCCGGATCAGCAGACTTCTATGTAAAAACAACAAGCTTAATTTCCCGTGAGCCACTGAGTAAAGTGGTGTTAATACTCAGGGTTTAGGGTTCAGAACCTGGAGATGTTTTCTTTGGTGTGAAGACCACCTGGTTTGTGGATTTTTGTAAAATTTCAACACTGAACTGTCATTTGTCTTTGTCAGCTTCCTGTATTCACCTTAAATATATGCTGTGTCAGGTTATGTTGGTCTCACGCTTCAGTAAAAGACGACAGAACTTCCTTTTTTTTGGTTTTTAAAAAAGCTTTAATCCAAAACAATTCATCAGTTTTAATTTACGTTAGGAGACTTACGCTGTTGTTCTGAAAACGTATTTGGTGCCTTCAGGTGATTCGTAAAGTCAACAAGCAGCACGCCATCTTAGACGTGGATGAGCCCATTTCTCAGCTCCACAAGTGCGCTTTTCAATTCCGAGACAAACCCAACTCTTATCTGTGTCTTTCTAACGACTCCATCATCCAGCACCAGGTGAGATGCTGTTTTTATACCTATCTTCTCTTTACCCCTCTTTTAAAAAAATCATCCTCCACCTTTTCCTTCACGTCAGACCTGTTCCAGCATCAGGGACTCCAGCCGAGTGGTGCTGAATGATGGATCCTGTTGGACCATCATTGGTGTGGAAGTGGTGGAYTTCAACTTCTGTCAGGGCGCTGGCTGCCTTCAGACTCCAGTCAGCCCGTTTCCTCTCATCACTGGGTTAGAGGTGAGTTTGTTGAGATTTTATTTGATGCATCTTCACCTAATGGGCTTATTTTACAGAAACATAAACAATAAAACCATTATTTTATGCGTTACTGCAGGTAAACGGAGGAGGACACGTTGCCATGTTGGAGATCCACGGAGAAAACTTCAGTCCTCACCTGAAAGTCCTGTTTGGCAGCAGTGAGGCTGAAACCATGTTCAAGTGAGTTGAAATTAGTTAAACCTATGAGAAAAGAGAGGAGTTTGTAAAGTGAACAGACAGTAAATTATGGTACTGTGGAAAAATAAGTGTGCAAAAAGCAGTTATTGGAAATTTTTTGATTAAAAAAATCATCCTGTAGAAGATAAGATAAGATAAGATAAGATAAAACTTTATTGATCCCACAGTGGGGAAATTTGCACATTATGCACATATTATTGCACATAATGGCTGGATTTCGCAAAAGAAACATTTTTTTAATGGATTGTGTTGTTTTGATGAATCTGMAGACTGTTTCAGCTGCTAAGAAACTGCACATTTACCCCGTCCCTCAGACAGTGATGCTGGACAGGGGCGAAGCTAAGCTTTTTGTACAAGGGGTGGCACAGGGGTGGCCAAGACATTTTTAGGAGGGCACAGACAAATAAAGRAAAGGACTCTGGGTTTTKAAAATTCAAGATGGCTGCCACAWCTGATTCCAAATTYCTTTAAATCAGCTKTTTTGAGAAATATTRAGCTRGAAATTTGKAYGATCAAAGCTAAGAAAGATCCAAACAACACRCTGAATGCTAGTCACAATGTATTATTCAGCCATTTTTRGACACACAAAGCTGAACATTAGTGTAGAAGTAGCAAAACAATCTTCACTTAATTCTAAATGCTAATTGTAAATTCAAGTTGGCCTCCACAGCTAACTTTAAAAAACAAACATTCAGCTGTTTTAAAACTTATTGAGATGAAATATATTGTGGCATAGCTAAAAATGATCACATGACGATTACCAATGCTAGAGTGCCTACCAATTACCAATTAACGATTACCAATGCCCCCAATTAGCCTAACAACTGATGGTAATGCCAATTTTCTAAAGTAACTAGTAAGTAAGTAACTTTTTTGTAGCACTTTTCTCAGTCAAGAAGCCACAAAGTGCTTCACAATAAAACTTCCCAATAAATCACAACAGAGCATATAAAAATACATCCACGAGTGATTAAAACCTTAATAAGACAACATGAAAACTCATATGAACATATTAAAAGCCTGTTTCAAAAGGTAAGTTTGAAGCTGCTTTTTACAGCTTTTACAGATTGGGATAATTTGTTCCAAAATGTGGGAGCTACAACCTGAAATGCTCTATACCYATGTGTCTTTAGTCAGGATCGAGGAACAAATTGATTGGAATTACATCTTAACAGGGCTATAAATCTGCCATTTTTGAACATACACAGCTAAAAATGTTATATATTTATATGTTATGTTATATGTAATATGTTGTATGTAATATGTAATGTTATATACTACAGCAGTAACAGAGAGCAACATTTAAATGCAAATACAAAATCTAAGATCCTCACCTACCTGTTGATTATTTGGGGGTGGTRCCTTGGGTGGCCAATCAGGGGCCACCCCTCTGGCTCCACCCCTGATGCTGGACATGACCACCAGTGACCTCTGCCACCCAGAAACAAAAAATAATCAGGTAAAAGACTAATGGACATTAAAACCTGACCTGAAATGAAAAGTAACACTAAGCAACCAAATAAACAACAGTTCAGTTTATCGACTATTTACTTTAAATATATTTCTGTATTATGACAGAATGAAGGGACCTGAGTCTGCATCACTTGAAGGAGTGACCTGCTTTGGCTCGTGGGTCAAAGTCAGAGGTCTGTGCAGAGATGTGACAGCCATACATCTCTCTTACAGAAGCTCATATGATGAACGTTTGACCAACGTTGGCTCTCTGACGTAAAAACCCTCCTCAGATCCCACAGCGTAAGTGCTGAGGTGTCATAGTTTATGGTTTGTGGGCTCAGAGTAGCTCACCACCAGATTCTGCAAATATTCCTGCCAGCAGCTCAGCAGTGTGAGAAAGCCTTGTTAGAATAATTGAGCCATCTAACAAATATTGTTTTTGAGAAAGCTCAAGCAGTTTGGACCTCAGAAACGCACAGACACGAGCTGTTAAATTAAATGTTTTAGTTATATTATGTTGTGTATATCAGCAGACATGAACATCTAAAACTCACATTCAATTACCTCTGCCATCGGCGAGGTAATGTTTTCGGCCACGTATGTCTGTCTGTCGGCCTGTCRKTCTGTCTGTGRACAACATTACTCAAATAGGTGTGGACGGATTGTCAGGACATTTACAACACATGTGGGTACTGGCACAAGGAACACGCCGTTAAATTTTGGTGATGTTCCGGGTCACGATGCGGATACAGGAATTTTTTTCTTTTAATCCTCTCATTTCAGCAAAGCTGTGATGCTTTCACAGGGCTTCTGTAAAAAACTGATAGCTTTCAGTGTTTGGACTTCAAACTTTATAAAAGTAATGTTAAAACCAGATGTAATGATGAATAATTCTTGCCATAATATGCGCATTTTTACGCATTTGGTGCGCATTTAGAGAACGTTTTGTAACCACGATGTGCGTGACTGCACCATGAAACCGATTTTTCCCATTTCCTCAAACACACCACATTGTCAGTAGGCTTGTACACAGATCGATGAAGATTGAGGAAGAGGAGTGAGGCGGTGGACTTCAGACTCAGAGTTTGTTTGTTTGTTTGTTTGTTTGTTTATTTGTTTATTTGTTTGTTCATTTTTATTATTATTTAAATGAGGCCAGATTAAGTCCAGAGCTCTTTGTGCGCCCCTCTAGCCACCTCTCGCCAAACTTCGGGGAAAAAAGAATGCACAGAGCGTGGTTGTGATCGCTGTGTGTGGTTCTCACAAAGATAGGAAGACGCGTGTGTGTCTGTGTGATTAGACGTACGATGAAATCTCTGCTTTGTTGAATCACGTAGCACCGATGCGAAAGCTTTCAACAAAAACGTCCCGTGACAAGTCTGACTTTTGTTTTTCACATTGGACTCCACAGAGAAGAAATCCCGTGCATACTGCCTGCTTAAATGTTCCCTACCTCAGAACTTATTCAGCAAATGTGTTTCCATCTCTGCTTTTGTGCATTAACTCTTACAGGATGGGGGAAATTGGCCTTGGCGGAGGTTTGCACTCTCCGAGTGCTTCTAGTTGTGTTTGAATTAGTTTTTGAAGCACCAGCAGACATTTCCTTGCCTTTTTTCCCCTCAGGTCTCCTCAATCTCTGCTCTGCGTCGTTCCCGACGTCTCTGTTTTCAGCGACGGCTGGCGCCGCCTGCGTCGCATCATCACGCTCCCTCTGTCTCTCATCAGGACCGACGGGCTGATTTATCGAACGTCCTTCAGCTTCACCTTCACTCCTGAGCTCCACCTGCCTCTGCCTGCCCGGGGGGCAGCAGGAGGCAGGGAGGGAGGGGCCGACAGAAGCCGGGAGGATGACGAGGACATCCTGATAGAGACTATTCACCAGGAGTTCACCAGAGCTAACTTCCACCTCTTTATGCAGAGTTARCACCTGAAAATGTGTCGTCTGCAGAGATTCACTGTCTTTCCTTGTTCTGATCCACAAAACACCAGCAGGAGAGACTTCCTGTTTAAAGAATAAGTCATAAAACCAAGGAGATGACAGCTCAAACAGCCTGAACAGATAATAAATGATCAGTTTGTGACTGTTTGTTTCATCATCTTTAAGTTTCATTTRATTTCTGAAAGCCCTGACCTGTGGTTCTGACTTTGAGGACCACAGTTCTGCTGTCTGAACAATGTGCTCTGTGTTTCTGGGGTGAGAGAGAGATCTGCGACAGCCTTGAAGGAAAAAAAAAAAAACCCTGACATGTTTCGTCGATGAGGTGACTGCTGTGTGAGAGGATGTTTTTTCTAGAGGACAGACTCTCCGTCTGAGAGCAGCGTGTGGTTAAAGAAAACTGTTTTAGTTTTGATCCTTTGAAACAGATCCCAGCTCAATGTTCTGTAAAYAGACAGGAGCTGGACTGTAATCTGAGATTGATTTATAATCTGGTGTGACTTTTTGTGTCACAGAATTTATTAGAAGTTTCAGAAGTGAAATTGATTCAAGCCTGTTTTCAGAAATAAATGGATTAACTGTAGTGTTTTAAAGCTTTAACGTTTGAAGCAGAGTCAAAGAAATCTTTGTATCTCTGTAAAACATTCTCTTTTTGTCTCTGTTGTTCCTAATCTCACCCTGCTAATCCTGATAAAGCGTCAGATTATAGCTAAACTACATTCACACTGCAGGCAAATCTGACCCAAATCTGTTTTTTATGACAATCTGAATGCAACAAATCTAATTTTTTTTTAAAATCCGACTCAGGATGTGGTACTAAATCTGATATAGTCTGAACGCACATGTTGCATCACATCCATCTTTTTCATCAGTGAGGTGGGGTGAAGGATCGATAAAGGCACTAACATTGTCATGCTGTTTAAATTTGTAGCTCTGTGCGTTTTCAGCTCCAAAACAAAAGTCTGGTTACTTCATCTTTTTACTTTTCATTTTCCATGTCCAGATTTAGYAGGAATCTGCAGAAACATTTGATAAACTTCAGTCATCGATCCTAAGTTTGATACTTTACTTCCAGCACTAAGTTCCAAAAATCCGGTCAGAGGCAGGTTCAGATATAAACACTGAACTAAACAAACATGTCAGATAATTATTTAATCAGCTCTGAATCAACAGCAACTTCAGAATCAATATGCTACAAGTAGCATGTTTAGCTAACTCTGTAAACAAACAGCTGAATGTGACGTCACGTTTTTTTCTGTGCTTGCGGGTCACATCGGTGCTGTGTCGAGTTCACACTGGAGTCTGACAGAAGTCGCATTTAAAATGTAAGGTTCACGCCACAAATTCTGATTTTTTTTTTTTCAAAAATTCAGAATTGAGCGTTAAGACCTACTGTGTGAACGTAGCCTAAAACACCAACGAAGCTGATTTCCTTTTGTTCTTCTCGCTGCATCTCCTTTAAAAAGGTCGTTGGAAATCCAACCAAAGAGCTCTTTTGTTCTAATCAAGTGAAGCAGAGACAAASCTGCAGGCCCGACCGGACCTCCCGCATGGCTGAATGGTTCTGCAGCAAACCCAAACTACCCTTCAATTTCTCTGCATGCTCATCATGATTACTGCAACGAGTCCACATCTCTGCAGCTCATATTGAGGGGGATCACCACCCAAAATGACACCCCACATGTTGTAACTCTGTGAAACAGAAAGAGCATGCGTCATTCCTCTCCTCCTCCTCCTCATCATTAGTAAGACAAACCGTGTGGGAGAGAGGAGGAAGGAGATCGGTCCAAACACAAGGCTGTGCCGTCTCCGCGCCGCTAATCTCMGTCGTGTGGAAGAAACTTCACCTGGACAGAAAACAGTGACGTTTCCCCGTCATCCTGCTCCATGAAAGAAACCATTCTTATGTTCCCGTCCACGAGAACTCCCACATTCTTCATGGAAACCAGCGACCTTTTCCACTCTGTCACTTTGTAACTTTGTTTTGTAGCTTTGAAGCCGTCGGGTCGGACACTGCCGATCTGAAGCCGCTGCACTCAACTTATTTATGATTTTTAACAGTAAAATAAGATAAATCGTAGCTTTTTGATGGTCTGAAAAGAGAAACTAAATCATTTAGTTTGCATCTCTGTAGTTACTAGGTTGTCATCTTGTGTAGAAACAGGATTTCCACTTAAAGACTAAGGGGCTGTAGTGCAAACAGATTTCACTCGTGGTTCTGACTTTTCCTTTGATTTATGAAGATTAAACATGAAATACATGAAACAAGAAGAGACATTTAGATTTGATTTTACCACACGTAGATTTTCACATTTCAAGGCCAAAAAAATCCTTGTATTTTATAGATTCATGAAATGTCCCATGAGCCTTTGCTGCTTGAGCGTATGGAAGACTTTCTCCAAGTTCACAGAAAAAAAAGTGGTCTACCGTACAGACTGCTGCCAAATTCTTAAAAATTGATTTTATTTGATTTATTGATTTAACTGGAAAAGATTACTAGAAGTCAAGCCTGACTCAGCATAATTGCTGTTTTACAGCAAGTTCCTGTTCTGCAGCACATAAAACACTCAGAAATACAACATCACAATCACATTATTATACACTATAAACACAAAGAAAAACAAGCATTCCAAATAAAGAACTTTACTTAAAAAGTATTTGTATTTCGTGTATTATTTTACTGCATTTGGCCCACAGCTCTGAATTGATTTTCATTTTGGCCCTCTCAGGGTAAATGTTTGGACACCCCTGCTATGAACCATAAACCTTTAAAYATGCCTTAATATTACCTTGAATTTACTTTTAGGTTTACAGATATTACAGAGCATTATGCTGGATGATGATCTGAACTGTCTTAACTTAATGAGATTAGGGAAAATATTACTTTTAAAGCTAATGTGATGCAATTTTTAAAATGTTGAAGTGTAAAAACAAGTTTTTGTGGATGAACACTCAAGACCAACCCTGTAAATGTTTTCTGATGCGCAGAGATCAAAAGACAATGATCAACCTGATCAATATTTCAAATGTTTATCAGCTGTAAATGAGCAGGCAGTGATTATTTKTGAGTTTTAAAGAGTTTCAGAATAAATCAACATCATTATAGATGGAAATGTTTAAGAATCAGAGGTGTTTTCTTAAAGAAATCTTAACTCARTATAAGGATTCATCTAATTACTGAAGTTTAAAGATAAATACAAGTTTGAAAACTCTGAGTTTCAAAGTTTAACTTTAGGTTTAAATGTCAAACARCTTCTATGAAATAAATGCTGTGATCCTCAGAGGGGAAACACGTGCACTTGTGTACAGGAGGTGTATTATAGAGGGGCCCCCCGACCTTCTTCCTACAGTTTCAGCACTCATATCCTTCAGCATGTGGTCGAGGGGCCCCGGCCCCTCTGGTTTCTCTTTGTTTATTACAGTGGAATAAAGGAGCCCACTGTCCAGCTCCGCTTCACTTCACCTCTTCCTGTCCATCCTCACCTCAGCATCACTGTGACATACAGGCAGGATGAAAAACAAGAGGCAACATAAAAGGAAAGAGAGACAGCATAACTGAAGCATCATTCTGATAAAAAAGAAAAAAATAATCAAAGAAAAGACGATATTATCAGTTTCTTCAAGAAGAGATGAGKTTAATCAGTAATCCTGTTGCTTACACCTGTTTGGCTGCAGCTGCTGACATGAACTGTCKGTGAGGAATCCTCCTGTCAGAACATTTGAGGAAATATGAGCAGAATGCTAATTATTAGAAGCTAACAGAGCATGGGAAATATGAGAGGAATGCTRATGACGGGTAATAGAGATTATAAAGAGTGTTTATGTCTCTGAACAAAGAGGACGTTTGGACAAGATTTCCACTTAGATTTTTCTGACCGATGAGTTGATAAAAAATATTTGTAGAAAAGTGTAAAAACAGTTTGCAGACAGATAATAGATCATTTTGTTATTAATGTAATTAACTTTTCACCTGGCAAACATTAAAGCATGTTCAGAACACTGACTGAATGATGTAAATATTACAAATTTACTGTCAGTTGTTTTTGGTCATGTCTACATTCAGGCAACTTTTTAAAAAATTAAAGAATTGTTCCTGTTGTTTTTAAACCATCCATCCACGTGATTAGGTTTTTGTTTGCTTGCAATTTTATTTTCTTTTGTTTGTACAATGAAAATACATTTTATAATTGTTTTTTTTTGCAAGATAAGGTTTATTAATTTTTAATCAATGAGTGTTTAATTGTTTTGACAAATAGAAATTTAAGGAACAACCCAGCATGTCCTCTTTTTTGTTTTGTAATGGGCATTCTGTAGAAACAAYGATCTCAAGATTTCCATGGACCTCATCACATTTATTGTTTTGTTGAGTGCTGAAAAAAAACTAAGAGTAAAAAACAAATATTGTTAAGTAGTAAATGATAAAACTTTTTGGGAGACTCACTAATACCCCCATTGTATCAAGTTATTAATATACAATAAAACCATTATTCTCTTT